TGAGCGGAGCTGCGTGTGGGCAGGTCACTTAACCAGCACAGGACTGGGTGGGGGGAGCTGGATTTTCGGCACAGCTCGTCCGTCCTGTGTACCCTGACCCTTTCTGCTCTTGCAGAGCCAAGCTGCCATGGGAAGCTGCAGCATGTGGGCATGGCCGGAGCTGCTGGTGCTGCTGAGCAGTGTGTGGCTGGGGGAGGGCAGTGCTCAGCCCACCCTTCCGGGCCCCACGCACAGCCCCGGACCCCAGCTGAAGTTTCGCCTGGCCGGCTACCCGCGCAAGCACAATGAGGGCCGTGTCGAGGTCTTCTACAACGATGAGTGGGGCACCATCTGTGACGACGACTTCACGCTGGCCAACGCGCACGTGCTGTGCCGGCACCTCGGCTTTGTGGCTGCCACTGGCTGGGCCCACAGTGCCAAGTATGGCAAAGGCATCGGTAAGAGAGGGGTGGTGGACACAGCCCCCTGTACTGCATGGGCTGGGGACAGCCTGGCTGTGGGTGGCCCGGCAGGGTGGTCTGCGTGCCACAGCAGGTTTGCATGCGCTGGTGGCGGGGCAGGGGGCCAGGACATGCAGGTCCTGTGTTTGCTCAGTGCCTGGCAGCAGGTGTATGCATGTGCGTGCACATGTGCATGTATGCACATGCAGATGTGCTGGGAGACTCTGCGTGTTTCTGTGTGAGCGGCTGTGCGTGCACCCAGGGCCCGGGGGGTGCAGGCATGTGCTGCAGCAGTGGGGCTACTCATGGCCCTGGATGGTGCAGGGGGGCTGCGGGTTCGGGCTGCTGTGTGCATGTGGCGCGGAGATGGAGCAGGCTGTGCTGCAGGTGAGGGGCGCAGGTTACATGGGGGCTTTATGCCTGGCAGAACAGCCCCTTGGGGAGCGGGAAACTCCCCATCTGCAGATCCCCCGCTCAGGGCTTTACTCTTGGCGTTTCGCTGGCCTCAGCTTTGTGCCGAGGGAGAGCTGCCCCTAGCCCAGCGTGCATGCTCCTGCTGTACGCCTGCGTGGTCCTTGGCTGTGCTCCACCAGCACCTCCCCTGCTCGCGGGGGATGCTGCATGGACTGGAGCCCCCCCCTCATCCCTGGCCCTGGTGTCTGGCAGGGCGGATCTGGCTGGACAACGTGAATTGTGCTGGAGGCGAGAAGAGCATCAGGGACTGCAAACACCGGGGCTGGGGGAACAGTGACTGCAGCCATGAGGAAGATGCGGGTGTCATCTGCAAGGACGAGCGCATCGCAGGCTTCAAGGACTCCAACATCATCGAGGTGAGGAAGCTACTGGCCGCGGTGGGCAGCTGGTGCTGCCCAGGATCCTGTAAAGCCAGCTGCCAGGAGCCCTGCCGTGGGGCAGTCCTGCCGTGGGGTGGCCCAGCCTGAGTTCAGTCCCCCCTGGATAGTTGGGAGGCAGCTTCCCCACCGCGCCCTGGCAAGCTCCCATGTGCAGGAGCAGGGGACCCTTTCAGTGCCTTTCCACAGCGCTAGCACACAGACCGTCTCCCCACAGAGCGGGGAGCGTGCAACCCCCCTGCCCTGGCCCCTTGGCCCCACAGTGCCCCTGAGTCGTGTGAGCACCTGTCTCCCTGGGGTGCCCCCACCCCAGCCCAGCTCGGGGGCTGCAGGGAGCGGTCGGCACTGCAGCAGGCTGCCCTACAGCAGGCACCTCGCTCCCCTGCTCTGCATGGGCATGCCACAGCCTCCCCCGAGCACCCCGAGCTTCTGCTTCCCCCAGCAGCTTCTCCAGGCCAGGGGATCCGTCTCATGCCTCGGTAGCCTGCTTGCTTCTTTCTCTGCCTGCTGGGGACCCTCTGTCCCAGACCTGCTCCTCCACGCTGCACTCCTTGGGCACACTTGGCCTCTCC